AGTAGAGAGAGAGAGAGAGAGAGAGAGAGAGAGAGAGAGAGAGCTAAGCACCATTGGCATGTTCAATCTCAACCATCTATGCTGACTGATATTCTTAGCGGACATAAGATATTTCTAGACTCTAATACACAGAAAAGAAACTCCTAAATCACAATTATCTTTCACAAATTGAGTTATAATTTAAGACCCTAAGTTAGAGAGAGAAAGTTGTGTAAGAATGAGTGTAGAGAGAGAAAGTGGTAATGGATACCTGGGGTGCTGGGTGTTCTTGACGACTTTCTGGCCATACTTTCTCCACTTGTAGCCATCGTCCAAGACATCGATATCACTCATGGTTTTGAAGCAAAACCTTGGCTCTCTAACCTTTCTTCTCACCTTCACCTTCTTCATTTTTATTGCCGAAGCTCCCAAATGATCCTCACTTGCTGCCCTTCTGCAACCCAAACCTTCCTCCTCCCCCAATGACCTACACATAACCACAAAATTTACAGATTTATAGAGCTTGTGTGGGTTTGCATGGTGAGAGATCAGAGAGAATTATCTGACCAATTTTCTCATAATCTCTTCATGATTACAAGCGTAAGAATTGTATTGCAAAAGTAGAGAGAGTGTTTGCCTGCATGTGTGCAGGAGAGAGAGAGATTGAGGGTGCCAATATCAAATTAATTTATACAATTATTCTCTCTCTTGTAATTAAGATGTTTTTTATTGCACAAGTAGAGAGAGGGAGAGAGTTGGTGTGTGTGCATGTGAGTATGTGGGAGGGAGAGAGAGGCAAAATCTTTAACATAAAAAAAAAAAAGGAAAAATTTTTACTTCAAAGGTGCAGAGAGAAAGTGTTTTTGAGTGGATGTGCATGTGTTCTAGATATAGAATGGTAAGAAATTCCATGAAAACACAGAGAAAGTGCATGTATGAGAGAGAGAGAGAGAGAGAGGGAGTTTACCAGAGAGATTTGCTAGAGAGAGAGACAATATACAAGAGTGAGAATTTGCTAGAGAGAGAGAATTTCTTAGAGAGAGAAAGAGAGGATTTATGAGAGAGAGATCAAAGAAAGTAAAGTGGATTCCTACCACAGAGAGGTCTTCATCTTCTGCAAAGGTGCAGGCCCAATGGCTCCATTACTCTGAGCCACAGTGAACAGATTGCACCCACTCTCACCTTCGCCATTAGCATCGAGCATTAGAGGAGGAGCCATGGCTGATAACCCATTCATGGCTCTGAACAAACCATGGTACCCATTTCCGGAGAGACCCCAACTCGTTGGCTCATGGCCTTGAAAACCCATGCTCGATGTGACCAACCCTTCATCACCCTGAAACATCCCTTGATTCATCTCTTTCTATCTCTTCTCTTTCTCTCTCTAGTGCAACTTACCTGGCTACTTCTTCATATCAGTGAAGAATCACTAGATGATGAAGGGAATCCCTGAAAGTAATTTAAGACAGGCAAAGAGAGAGAAAAAGGGTGTTATAATTCTGGATCTGAGAGAGAAAGAGAGAGAGGGCAAGGGTTTGGGCTTAATATATTGAAACTGAAGAGGGGAAAGATAGGGTAGTAATTGTGCAATTGAGAGAGAAAGAGAGAGAGAGAGAGGAGGGTGATAATTCAATAGAGAAAGAGGAGAGAGACAGAGAGAGAAGGGTGATAATTCTATAGAGAGAGGAGGGTGATAATTCTATAGAGAGAGGAGAGAGAGGAGGGTGATAATTCTATAGAGAGAGAGGAGGGTGGTAATTCTATAGAGAGAGAGAGAGAGGAGAGTGATATATCTACAGAGATAGAAGGCTTTGGGCTTCTGCGATGGTGAAGAGAGAGATGGGAGGGCAGTTACTGTGCAACTTTGAGAGAGAGAGAGAGATGAGGGTGACAATTCTAGAGAGAGAGAGAGGAGGGTGACAATTCTAGAGAGAGAGAGAGAGAGAGAGAGAGG